TTTCTCCTCCGACCTGTCAGTTCTGTAGAAATCTGTTGTTCAATTTCCAAATATTGATTCACTTTTACCAGTTTTATGGTGGAATCATTGCTATATAAAGAATACACATATTCAGTGTACACAATTGATGAATATCCTGTGTTTGCATAAATTCTTCTTACTGATTTTAATGGAACCCTGTTGTCACAGCACATACTGTGCAAGATTTCAGTATTTGAAATTTATTCATGTTTTTGTTACTGCACAACACGTTTTCCATCTTTGTGCTGGTTCTGTTTTCATATAAAAGTACATGTGGACTCTAGTTTTCAGATCCAATTAAAGTGGTTCACATTTTCCTTAAAATTTTTCAATGTCCTTTTAAAAATATGTCTAGCTTTCTATTAGTGTAAGAAGGCTATGAGGATTAGTAACTAGAATTGTGGATTTGGATATTTATTCCGCATTAGGTCTGTTCATCTTTGCTTCATCTATTTGACATATTTTAGATGCATATATTGTTGCTTTGTCCTCAGGAATTAATTTTTTTAATTATAAAATAATTCTTTATAACATTTGTAATACTTCTTGACTTACTTTATAAGACAATGTTGTTTTACTTTAATACAATCAATTTAAAACTTATCATTTCCATGTGATAAAGGAATTCCAAACAAATTTCAATTTAAAAAAGTCCTTGAACCACTATACAAATTAAAAGCAAAAATAACATAATTAGAGATCAACATACCTTATTCGTCCATCTCACAAATCTGGAAAACTTAAAGAGTGCTTTTTCAATATTTTACCAACAAACTACACTTTAAATAAAATGGCAATGATTGCAGTCCACATTGAAATCTATGAGATACAGCAACAGCTTAGATATTTATAGCTTCAAAACAAGCATTACAAAACAAAGAACAAAATAAAAGCACAATATAAGACATACACCCAAAGAACATAAAAAAGAACATAACATTATAATTTGATCTTTTAGGATATATGATTACTGACATTTCTGTTTACTGAACTATTCTTTTAGTACTATTAATAGATGAGTTTTCATCAAGAAATGTAATTTTAATATTTTTAGAAGTACGAAGATGTCCACCTCCACCTCAGATTCCCAAAACTGAAAACATGACAACTACAGTGAATTACCAGGATGGAGAAAATGTATCTATTCTGTGTCAAGAAAGTTCTCTGCTTCAGGGACCAGAAGAAATCGAGTGCAAGGATGGAATATGGCAGTCGGTACCACTCTGTGTTGGTCAGTAGTCGTCATGTGCATTATGACCTTCTTCCTAAGGAGGGTAAAACTCCCCTGTGCTTTGAGTAAAGGAGCTGATACAGAGCTGTCTCCATATCTATTCCACTGCATCCAGCAACGGGAAACTGCAGTCTAGGAGCTCCCTGTGTAAACACCAGATACAGATGGCATCTGTGCGTAGTGTTACCCCCTGTGAAACGGACAAGAAGGAAGGGCCTTTGGAACAAGCAGACTTTAGGCAGACATATATCCTTGCAACTTCCAGTTACTTTCTAGGTTTTACATAACTTCATTTGCTCAAATTATCCTTATTTCAAAATCCCGAATAGCATTTGATTTCTTTTTTCATTTGAAACATTTATTTCTGTGCTTGATTCTTTGATCTCTGTTCTTCATATAGAGAAACTTCCATGTTCTCAACCACCTCACATCGAACATGGAACCGTTAATTCATCTATGTCTTCAGAAGGAAGAGAAGAAACATCGGAACCCAACATTTACAGACATGGCACCAAACTCAATTATATTTGTCATGCCGGTTTCAGCATATCATCAGAAGGTGGGATAACATGCCACATGGGAACATGGACTTCTCCACCTCAGTGTATAGGTAAGGACAGCTTGCAAAATAAATTCTATTTTTGGAGCAATTCATTAAAATAATCCATTGTCATCAAACTCATGAGACATCATTCTTTACAGTTCTGAATATATAAAACCATTTATGTTTTTTTACATAAATTACCTCACAATTTTACATGATCATATCAATCCTATTATTATTAGTTGGTTCATTTTGAAATCACTTGTAGTTCTAGTATTTTTTATCCTCAAAAGGGTGTGTAGTGAAATTAAACCTACCTATTCATATAGGTAGAAGCATTCATATTCCTACATATTCATATAGGTAGTGAATGCTTCACCACTAGATTTTTAAAAACATTTCTTATGTTCTTCCAACAGTGTCCCTTCTGATTTCTTACAATGCATGGTACTTTCCTAGAGATATTTAATTCTCAGTGTGTTTCCCTTCATTACTCATGACTGGCGACAGCAGCATTGATAGTCCCGTTCATAAATATGTTGATATTTTTAGTCTCAAGTTCTTGGTCAAGTTCCAGCTGGTCGCACAGCACAACAGTGGTTTCAGGAAGCATTTGTGCACCTTCTCTGTGATGTGATATTAGCTCCTTTGTGGTCATTTCATTTCAAATAAAAGTACCACATAGGACAAGCAGTGTATGAAATTGATTTCAGAGGTAGTGCAATATGCAGTCACTCTTTCTTCTTTTCTTAGGACTTCCTTGTGGAGAACCAACTCCGATTACGAATGGTGCTGTGCCTGACAAGTTAAACAGGTACCAGTATGGAGAAGAAGTGACGTACAAGTGTTCCGGAGGATTTGAGATTGATGGACCTGCATCTATAACATGTTTAGGAGAGAGATGGTCCCGTCCACCACAGTGCATAAGTATAGTGTATTTCATTTTATTCTGAGGCTGACAAGTACCTTTATTTCAGAGCATTAATGATACAACTATGAAAATCAGAGGTAATTCTAGAATTTAGCAAGGGCTCTCTGGGAAGTACTGGGTTCTGGAAGAGAATTTGTTAGCCCCAAATCAGAGAAGTTCAGTGACATGAGCCGAGTATTTCCTTGTGACTTCCTGTCGTGTGCACTGTCCACATGCTCTGAGGAACACTCCCAGGTTTCTCATCCCTGATCCTATATCACTGTGGCCTGTGCTCATCAATCTCATCATTCTTCAGTTTCCTGTTGGTTTCCCAGAAATCTCCGTATAAACATGTGATTTCTAACATATTTGACATAATTGTGGAAACAGATTTGACAGAGCAACCAATAACAATATGTACATAATGTAGGTGGACCGTATGGGCAAGTAAGGATGGGAATGTAAGAAGTTTGTCTCAAGCGTCACGTGCAGCTGTATCCCTCCAGACTCTAATGTCACCGCTCCCTTGTCTTACTTCTGATAAATGTAGAATCAGTCGATGTCACTAAGTCAAACCTGCTAACATTTTCATGTTATAAGAAAAATATTGCACAATATTCAATGGTTTGATATGTGCCTAACTATTATTCTAGACTTTAATTATTGGCCATATCTAATGATTTGCTGAACAAATGCATATTGTTTTCCTTTCAGAAGCAGAATGTTCTCACCCTCCTAGTTTTGGTAATGCCATACTCATGAGTAAGCGGAAGTCATCATATAAGCCAGGAGCAGAATTGGCTTATAAATGTCCACAATATTTCCAAATGGAAGGATCCAATACTGTACAGTGTATTAAGGGCAAATGGTTGGGGAAACCAACCTGCAGAGGTAAGGAGATGACATTTTAAATTTATTAAAGTGACTGAAGTACTAGCATCTACAATTACCTCTAGATTTATTAAAAAGTGGACGTAAGTTATGTTCTAGGCCAAGTCACAGAAGGTTAATGCCTCCACGAAAGGGGCGGAAGTGGACTCTATGGTTAGCCTGCTTCCTCTCCTTCTCAGAGTGAAGTCCCTAGGGTGGCAGCAACCGCATTTTCATGGATATTTTAGAAACGCAAATGCAAGTTCACAGGCGCACTCAGATTCAGAGCAAAAGATGCCCCGTGTGTGCCCCTGAGACCGTTGTAACAATTCCCAGGAGAGCCCACACGCACCTCAGTTTGGGAACCCTCGCTAGAGAGCCAATCATGACTTCATATCCACCTGAATCTCTCTGATGAATTACACTTGGCTCATTGTGGTGTCCTTAAGCATCGACCCTCCCCAAAATCACTGGCGTGTTTTTACCAATTACACATTGCCCTTTTTCTTATGTTTTCACAACTTCTATTTGTTGGGTCTGTTGACTGTACACCATCTTTCTTCAACAACGGTATTCTTCAAAGTGTGTTAATTCTTGACTATTCTCAAAGAAAGTGTGTATTTTTGTTTATTTTCCTAAGAACTTAAGATTACAATTCATAAACATGACAATTGAAAACCAAATGTTGATGTCAAATCATCTCTTTACTATGATTTTCTTGTGGTTATGAATTCATTTTGAATTAAAAAATTTACAATATTTATTTTATTTAACTCAAAGAAAAATGTCCAGAAAAAAGTCATTTTCATCGGCCTCAAAGATGATTTTTAGACTTCTAGAGTGGATGGTAGAGGAATTTAAGGTATAGAAGCTTAAACCATAAAAAAACATGTTGTTTATCTCCTTTTTTCAATTTTCCATGGAAATTTAGAGTTATACTAATTTTTATAACAGAAGCCATTGATTTCAAAGCCTCCTTGAAATACACATTTATTGGAATTCCTTTTGCTGATTTGCATTCAAAATGGGCGTTACATTAGAGATACATTCTTTCTTCCTATTCAGATGTTTCCTGTGTGAATCCCCCCACAGTGGAAAACGCTCGTATAGTAGGCAAGATGTCTAAGTATCTGCCTGGTGACAGAGTACGTTATGAATGCATCAGATCTTTGGCCTTATTTGGGAATAGAGAAGTGATGTGTTTAAATGGAACCTGGACAGAACCACCTCAGTGCAAAGGTAAAGCATCTTATTTCTCTTCCCCAGTTTTAGAGAATATATTAGGGACAAAGTATGTTGATATAAATACATAGTGCAGTAGTTTCTGTGCAGTAATAAATTTTAATGCATATGAAATGATGGTGCTTAAGTCCAGTTCTTTCTGTGGACTGAGTAAAACATATGGTGTATGGGTTTTATGAAAGCTTTGACCTGAGTACAATAGAATAGTTGGAATCATGGAACATTCGCATCTGAAGCATCGAGACACTCAGTCTTTCCTGGGCAATAAATATATTAAAGACACCTTGAGTCCATTTGACAGACCTCTGGAATTCCACTGTGAGACCTGGACTGGGCAGCTGGGGAAGGATCATAGAGCGGGATATAAATTTGGGCTTCTTCAGCATGTGGATTGTATTTAAAGGTGTGATATTAGCTGATCTCACCCAGGGAATCAGAGTATCATAGAAAGTGGTCTGAGAGCCTGGTCATGGGGCACCCCAGGGTTCAGGGTTCAGGAGACGAGTGGCACCAACGAAGGACATATGGTATTAGCCACTTCAGCTCGGGCCTGGAGTGTATTTTCCCAATGTTTTACTATGAGCCTACCTATATTTCCAAGTATGAAGTGAGTTTTCTGCAGACAGCATATAGTTGGGTCTCGTTCAATTGAAAAATGGGCAGAAGACATGAACAGAAACTTTTCCTAAGAAGACATACAAACGTACAACAGATATATGAAAAACAATTCTCAACTTCACTAGCTATTAGGGAAATGCAAATCAAAACCACAAGACAGCCATTTTTTAACACTGGTATGTTTTACATGTGCTTTCAGGTAGGGGGCGGGGGGCGGGTGATTCCCAGTGTAAGAGATTAAAAATACTTCAACGAATCCTTTCTGTCATCAGAAACCACAAGTCTTCACATTACATATTTGCTATGATTTATTTGCTTATGTTAACTTTTGTTATTCTTTGGTCTGTCAATAAATCAAATAATACCCTTTTTTAGAGTCTACTGGAAAGTGTGGGCCCCCTCCACCTATTGACAATGGAGACACCATCACCTTCCCATTAGCGGAGTATGCTCCGGGGGCATCAGTTGAATACCAATGCCAGCAGTTGTATGAACTTCAGGGAAACAGGCAGATAACATGTAGAAATGGAGAGTGGTCAGAACCACCAAAATGCGTAGGTGAGTACTTTAATGTTCTCATACATTCTGAGAAAATCAGTGTAATGAGTGTGATGTTTTCCTGTTTGTAATAGAATTTTGATGAATTAATATAAGAAGAATTCTTCTGATTGCTTGTCTACCACATATTGATATGTGAAGGATTAAAGTTTAAAAAGTTCTTAAGCAACAACAACAAAAGATTCTTTAGTAGAAGCTCTTTCTATGATAATTGACATTACAAATGTTTCATTATGACAGTTAATTATCACACATTAAACATAGTTCCTCATTTTAACATCATTACTTGTGTGAAATGATTTAAATGTACATGATAGATTTTCAATAAGTTGGTTTGAAAAAGGTTTTGAGAATGAATTCCTGGACAAATGTAGAAAGTCTGAAAATCTGTGGAAAATGTTTGTTATTCTACTTAATGTTCTTTGTTCTTTTTTTTTTTTTTGCCTTTAGATGCATGTGTAATATCAGAAGAAATTATGAGAAAACATAATATAAAGCTTAAATGGAGTAACGCAAAAAAAATTTATTCTAAAACAGATGATGTTATTGAATTTGCTTGTTTATATGGGTACCATAAACAGTCACCAGATTCTGCACTACGAGCATACTGTCGGGAGGGAAAAGTGGAGTATCCCACTTGTGTGAGATAATTAATATAGATAGAAGGAAGTCATGAAATTATAATATACATCTCATTTAGAATTTTTGTTATTATTCCAATTCTTCTCAATTTTTTTCAAACATTAAAAAATCATAATTCTTTTATTCATAAATCAGAATTTGTGTTAAATATTATATGGAGGGTGTCATTGTAACCTGAGAGACCAGTCTGTCACTTCTTAAAAGCATCTCATTAAAATGTGACAAACCAAAATTCTGTGTTTTATTCATAAAACATCTATGCGCAGAAATTACATGCAGTACTTGAGAGCCTGCCTCCATCTACCATTCTCTGAACACTCTCAAATCACCCTCCATAACATGGCAGGCGTTCTGAGAGTCTTCTACCAGAAGAAATGGAAAAAATGCTTGTCTCCATGTTCAAAATAACATCACTTCACAAACATGTAAAAATTGAACTACGTCATAAATGTGCTAGCCATAAGATGTAAGAGCTTATTACTTAGTTTTGCTTATCTCTCAATAGCTAAATGTACCTCGAAATGATGAAATACATGATGTACAAGAGGTCCGCTTAGCCCACATAATAAGTCACACAAATGATAGGAATTAGACTCTAATTGAGTGCAAAACTATTATAACATTGACATGAAAAGTGATAAAAACAACATCAAGTGTAAACGTACACCCACATCCACACAATATGCTTTGAATGATGAATAACTGTTCATAGAACAAAGATTGGCAGGAAGGACAACAAAACACTTACCATAACTATAGCTGAATTTAGAGATAATAGGGGTAAGAGTTGCTGTTCAATTCTTTTATCTGTATGCTCACATTTTCCTATCTTTAATATGTATCACTTTTGAAGCAGAGGACTATGTTAATTTAAAATAAACATATAAAAATGAGGTAATACTTGTCATTTCATAATGATGTACGAACCTAGTAACATTTTCATAATTTTGCTGATATAAAGGGTTTTGGAAATATTCAAATATGAGTCTGAAATATGATTTCTATGTTCGTACAATTCAAACACATGAATAAAATCGGTTTACTAAACATTTTTAATTTTTACAAAATGATGTAAATTTTAACTTGAAAATTAATATATAAATAATTAAGCTAAAAATAATTTATAGTGATACCTTGTTACTTCGTATGGACTCAGATCAAGTGGCATTCATAAAATGAGAAAACTGGCTGTGTCCAAGGAGCTACTTTATGCAAATCTAAATCAGTGGTGACAGCCAGCGTCTCACATGTGAAGGAACATTGTTCAATTGGCAAGCTTCTCTGCTACTCCTAACGCTAACATTTGTGTATATGGTATCTCTCCAAAACCTTTCAACTGATAGTCGTGGTTTCTATGACACTTGCCTATAATCAAGTATTACATTGTTGGCTACAAAATCCTCATTTTTAATATCAATTCTATCATTCTGTATTTATTAAATGTCATTCTCGTATAAAGATGAATGTTAATTTACCAACTCTGCCTAAAGTTTCACCTAATAAGATGAGGTAAATCTTTATTTTTGCTCTTTTCTTTCTTTTTTTTTTTTTTTTGAGTAAGGAATTGTAATAGTGACCTTCCGTGATGGCTTTAAAGATTTTCTATTTTTCATATTTTGTGTGTGTCAGCATGGATTCATAAATTTTCATTTTCAATTTGTCACAATCAATTACATTCACTATTCTATTGGAAGCTCAGATTACCCCAAATTTGGCTAGTGGGTGCTTCTTGAAACTGGCTTCTCATTGCTCTTAGTATATCCCTATTAGTCTTTCAGCATTTCTCTTCTTTTTAGCACAAACCATACTCCCGGCTCACTGTATGCTCCTCCTGTCCAACACCCATGATCATACAACTTTTCAAGAATGTCCGATTTTTTTTCTTTCTTGAAGAATAGTGTTTAGAACCCAAGAATTGTGCACTGTTGATGCTGGATGGGGGCGTTCAGCAGTGTTGAAATGTCTTTACTTCCAGAGTCTTCTGGTTGTCAAATCTTTGAAATAGAAATGAAACTTAAAATTCACTAGTGCCTATTCGATTTTACAGTTCAAGTTAAATAATGCAGGGCTAAAAAACAACTCTGAAATACATTTTCTCTTTCCCTTTACTTCTATATTCTTATATTTCAATTTTCATGAAGATAACATCAAAAGTATAATGCAAACATTACTATTAGCTGCTACAATACTGAGTGGAGGTTGAAACATCCTTGCATTTATTGTGTCCCAGGATGTTTGATACTGAGAGTTAGTACTCTCCTCAAAGTGACTTGAGGTGCCAGCTGAATGGCTTAGTTGGTTAAGAGCACGAGCTCCGAGCAACAAGGTCGCCAGTTCGATTCCCACATGGGCCAGTGAGCTGCGCCCAAGGTGAGCTGCAACTTAACTGCCAACAGGTGGCAGGATGGCTCAGCTGATGAGAGCGTGTGCTCCTAACAACAAAGTTGCCGGTTCGACTCCAGCATGGGATGGTGGGCTGTGCCCACCTGCAACTAAGATTGAACACGGCACCATGAGCTAAGCGGCCGTGAGCTGCCGACCAGCGGCCAGCTGACGACTGGACTTGGAACTGAGCTAGCTGCGCTCTCCACAACTAAGACTGAAGGACAACAACTTAGCTGTTCCACTTCCCCAATTCCCCAACACTGTTCCCCTTCCCCAATCTCCCAACACTGTTCCCCTACCCCAATTATCCAATAAAAGGGGAAAAAAGAAGAAGTGAAGGGAATTTTATAAAAGATGTTAAAAAAAAAGTGACTTGAACTAATTCTTATCTCTAATAAATTAATGGAGTTTTACATTTATTTGTATTAGTATATTTTTCAATTTTAGATTTTGCTGCTTCTTCCCCTGATTTCATCGTTTTTTTTTTAATATGAAGAACACCAACATGTTTTAAACGTTGAAGCAATACGAGAAGGTTCTCTGCAGGATGGTCTCACTTCCATCATACCTGTTCCCTTATTTAAGTTACAATTTTACTAGTTTCTGACGTCCCTCTTCTGTTCATTAATTTCCTGTTTTTTCAGATGAGAAGAGTATTTCACACATTTATCTACACCTTGCTGTTTCCATTTGAGAATGCATCTCACCGAGACGTCTGATATTTTCCTATTACAATAGTGAGTGCTGTGATGAATACATTTAGGTGGACATACTGTCAGGATAAACTGCTAAAAGCGGAATTAATGGGTCACCAGGCAATTTCAAAGCTATTTTGACTTCTTTTTCATTAAGGACTGTATGTTATTCTGTACTTTTCTAAAGAGCCTACTTTTCCTTGGTCTTGCCAACTGAGGAAGTTGTCAGCCTTTTCTATATTTTTCCTGTTTGGTAGAGAAGAAATGGCACCTCTATAGTTTAATGTGTATTTTGTTATTATAAATGTGGTTGTTTGCATTTAAGATATTCATGGACCATTTGTTTGGATTTTTATCTCTTAATTTTCTGATTAAGATACGGGCCCCCTTTTTCTCTTATTGTTCCTGGCTGAGAATTGATAAGATTATCACTTTTCATTTCACATTTTATTTTATATGAATTACATATATTTTCCAAGTTGTTATTTAGCTTTTGAGTTCATGTTAATTTTTCTAGGCAGGTTTGTTTTTTTGGTTTTTTTTTTATGATTTTTATTGGGGAATTGGAGGATGGGAACAGCGCTGGGGAATTAGGGGAAGGGGAACAGACAAGTTGCTGTCATTTTGTTCTTCAGCCTAGTTGTGGAGAACATTGTTTCACTGGCCCATGTTGGCACCATCATTGCGCTCTTCCCGGGTGAGACAGATCAGTCGCCGGCTTCTGGACGGCCGCTCACGGTGGCTGCTGGCCGCTCACTCTGGCTGCTGGCCACACACGGTAGCCCATGGCAACCCACTGCAGCAGGGGTTGCAGCCTACACCTTCGCCAGCGACTCATGGCAGCCCAGCTCCAGGTTGAGCTGTTGTTCAGCATCTTAGCTGTGGAAGTCAGTGTCACTGGCCCTCATACATGGGAGCCGAAACGGGGCCGTCTGGCGTCCCAAGCCAGCTCTTAACCAACGTGCCACTCAGCCGGTCCAAGGCAGATATTTTTTAAATATATGCTCTTAAAGTCACTGCTCATTATTTAATTACTCAAGTTCTGAGTCATAGTTTGAAATGTCCTGTTCTTAACAAATGCACCCATAGTTATTGTGCTGGATGCGTGGGGTTCCTTACTTATTTGGAGATTTCTACAGCTAAATAGTGTGGGAGTTTGGATGTGTTCTGTTTTTCTGAATGACTCTCCAGTTATCTAACAGTATTAAAAACATCGTCTTTTCCTAGTTATTTGAAATGTGACTGTAATCATCTGACAGGTTCTTCGTGTGTGTTTCCCTTTCTGTACTTTCTACTATAATCCACTTTCTATCTGTCCATTCTGGGGCCAGCACCATCTGTACCATCATAAAGGCTCCTTAGATATAACATGTGGTGGGGCTAGCCGTCACCTAAGTTTTTCGGTGCTTTTAGAGCTTCTGTGGCTATTCTCTGTCTCTAGGAACTTTAGAAAGAACTTGTCTAAATCGAAAAGAAAAGCTATGGTACTTTGCATGGTCTGCTCTGCTTGGTTGAAGATCAGTAGTGGTCCTTAATGCAGACTTTCATATTAACAGGAAACTAATCGGTGTTTCTGGCAAAAGGTATCTCAGACTTGCTGAAAGCTTAAGGGTCTAACATACAGCATGTCCTGTAGGATGGCACAGGAGACCTTGAAGCCATCCAGGTCTATACTTCATGTCCCCATGATACCTGAGTGAGAAGGAAATGAAACCCTGTGTCAGTGAGGGAGTCATCTAGTTGGGACACTTCAAGTCCCATAAGGGTCTGTATCTCTCAAAAACAAACAAGCAAACGAACAAATAACTTGAGCAGAGCTCCAAGGCTCTGGCGAGGGAACAATGACACACAAATCACAATGCTCCAAACCCCAAAGCTATGGCTGTCCCCAAGTATATCCATCTAGGCCTGAGTTTCTTCCAGCACATGTGACATTTCCTACTCACCAGATCTCTAATGAAACAGTATTATAAGAGGTACCACTCTGGGTTCCTTGAAATAAGGAGGAAAGAGATTGTGAGAACGTTCTCAGTAAATTTGTGGGATGGACAAATGTGTCTGTGAACTTAAGAATTATTGACAATGCTGTTCAGACTTCTGCTATTTTCCTTTTTGTACAAGTGTATGTTTGTATTCTTTAGAAAGAATATTACACTGTTTTCCTCAGATGTTCTTGGTACATTTCTGAGCAACAGGGAGAGTCAGCACATTGGCTCCCCTCGTTGTGGAATGAGGGCAACTATGGTGGGAAAGGCCAAGTGAAGCCAACAGCGGCCTCCACCCAGGACAATAGTGAAGCAAACGCAATAGTTCACCTGCTGGAGGCATTTCAAGGACTGGAAAGACGCAGAGGGATGGTTTCTACCAAATCCCCATCAACTTGCCCACGTGGCTCGTGCAGCAAACAGATGGATGCTGGAGATGGCAGCGGGAGACTAAGCGTAACCAGATGGGGACACCAAACGCACCTGTTTACCTGACGTTGTCTCATTGATTGAGCACGTTGATGCAGCCCCTGTAATGTCTCAGGACATGCTGATGTGCAGCTCTTCATCTGGCAAACGCTGTTTTCTCTATACTTGTCAGCAGAGACCAGCTGTAGCAGTTTCCTTCTGGTTGGAAGGTCATCAGTACACCTTCACTGTCCTGCCTCCGGAGCCTATCAACTCTGCAGGCTATGTCATCACTTAGTTTGCAGGGACCTTGATCGCCTTTCCGGTCATGAGGAAGCACACTGGTCCATTCCATTGGTGATATTATGCTCATTGGACCCACGGAGCAAGAAGTGGCAGCCGCTCTAGATCACTGGT